GGTTGTGAGGGAGGACGATTCGATTGGGTTGTTTATTGGTGAGTCTGAGAGGGGAAAGATTAGGAGGAAGGATATGTCACCTATGGGAGATAAGGTGTGTTCTTTCTCGGACTCTGTTGTGGAGGTTGTGACTGACGTACGGGGTTTTTGTTTTATTTTCGTTGATAGAGCTCGAAGTACCTTGCAGGATGTTTCTTTGCGGATTCGACAGGGCTGTTCGAGGCGCAGTTCGAAAATCAGACGCCTACCCCTGCTGGTGCTGCCACATCGACTATCCAGGCTGTGTCCGGTGCTAAGTCACAGTGGCTGTTGTTGGTTAGGCCTCAGGGTGTCCTGGAGGTGATTTTTCTTAATTTTATTGCCTTCATGGGCCTTACATAGGGTGACAGATCTGGACGCTACCTAAATTGTGGCTGGCATTTTCAACTTCCGCTATCGCGTCTCTGCAACCGGTCCTGACGGACACACATGAACCACCGTCATTATCATTAGCTCAGGATCCCCCCCGAAAACCTCAGGAGCTAGATGTTGAACAAATTTTGTTGGCGCCTGTGGGAGAATCGTCGATTGTGCCGTACCTCTGTGTAAGTAATTTCAACTTCCCCGGGCTCGGTAGATTTCCTCATTGCTGTGTTCAGGTCTTCCTCCGCTCAGGGCATCTGGCAATCTACGAAGTAGCCGTGCTCGGCCCAGGCGCCGAAGAACACCCCACACCCCGCCAAACAACCCTCAAAATTAAGTTCGCAAAAATCGCATCAAAGGCGTTCGAGATCCAACGCCCGGAGGAGAATGAGAAAAGTCATATTTTGGCTGAGCAGAAGAAGATTAGTCGGATGTTTATTCCTTTCGTGACTTCGCCAGCACCCGGTGTGACGTATTCTGGCGTGTTCTTTACGGGTGATCGGCCCCACTGGATTTTGTCTACGGATAAGGGTGGCGTGCAGGTTTATCCTTCGGGACATAATGTTGTGCACGCGTTTACGCCTTGTTCGTTGTGGGAGTCGAAGAATGATTTCTTGATGTATACTGAAGAGGTTCGTTTCACACTTAACGCACGCCATTCCTTGGGGTTCGGTGCTTATTTTGAATTCTTTTACAGGGTCCGGTTCTGGTGGAATGGGTACCCGATTTCCAGTTTGATGCTGTATTGCCGATGAGGTCTGTCCCGAGAGGACGGGCGTATTCTAGTGTGGTGTTCGATCCTTCGACGAGCCTGATCGTCGCTGCATCTTCGTTACAAGCAAGGTTTACTTCGTTCGACGAGGATGGAAATAGGATGTGGGAACCTGATGGTCAGTAACACTGTTTATCTCCTTGTTTATGTGAACGCATGAGGCTGACGCATGCTTGCTCTCGGGTAATCCTCTCCTTTGACACTCCAGCACCGAATATTCCTGAGCCGAATGCGGACTGTTCTGCGCTTGAGCTAATTGCTCCTGATATTTGGGTTACTATGGATGGGTGGGTCATTCGCGGCGTGGTCTTTGTGAATCTGTGTTGACTTGTTTGTGGATTGGAGGTTTGAGTTTGCGACGAATGAGTATATCAATGACATGGCGATCGTCACTCTCGAAACGGCTGCAACCGAGACAGGAACGAGAGATTTCATAGCTGTTGGGACTACCATAGATCGCGGAGAAGACCTTGCAGTTAAAGGCGCAGTACGTCTTCTCCCCTTCTCTAACGTAAAAAACAGACCACTGGCTTACCTTGTCTCCTTTGAATAAAAATAACAGACGTATATCTTTGAGATTGCGGAGGTTGTGCCTGATTCGGCTGTGTCTCAACGCCGGTGGTACAAGTTGCGACTGCGTTGCAGAGACGATGCGAAGGGTCCTGTAACGGCAGTCTGTGGGTTGAATGACTATCTCGTGTCATCTATGGGCCAGAAGGTGGGCTATACTCCCCCTCAATTCATTATTTTTACCGCTGCGATTATTTCCGAGGTCTTTCCGTGTCGCAGCCGAGCTTAACCTCTTCCATCTCGTTTCATGTCGTCTATTTACTCGCCTTCTGCCTCTACCTTTTGCTTTGTGGTTCGATTTTGGTGATCCGTGGCTAACCGGCGTGTTCTCGTTGACTTGGTTTTTCGTACCCCAGATTTTCGTCCGTGCGTTTGACTCTGATGAACGCCTCGTGGGTGTCGCGTTCATGGACGTTGGAGTCTATGTAACTTCGTTACGGACCCTCAAGAATCTGTTGTTGATTGGAGATGCAGTCAAAAGCGTGTCATTCGTCGCATTCCAGGTTCGTGCCGTGGCGTTTTCTAGAATTCTTCCATGATTGAGGGCTGACGGCTGTGGGGCTGTGGTACTCGTTGCAGGAGGATCCATATAAACTTGTGCTGCTCTCGAAGGATACCAACCGCGTCTGCGTTACCAGCGCAGATTTCTTGTTTACCGAAAACGATCTCTGCATAGTAACGGGTGATGAGGAGGGTATTGTGCGCGTATACGAGTATAATCCCCAGGGTAGGCTCTGTTTTTGTGGTCGCAGTATCATTTCGGATTTGGTTTGCTGATTCCCGTGGTTGTGGTTGGTCAGATCCCGATTCACGAGATGGGCGGCACCTGCTCTTACAAACAGAGTTCCACGGTCAACGTGAATACCGCACGGCAGTGCTCGTTGCTCATCGGACCAAGGAGGACCCACCAATTCCACAGTCGCGGCTACTGACTGGTGAGTTCTTCCCCTTCCCGAGGACCTTGGATTTGTTTAACGACACTTGCGGTTATAGGTTCTACGGACGGCTCTCTGGCATCGCTCACTATTCTAGATGAGACTGCGGTGAAACGCCTGGGGCTGTTACAGGGGCAGCTGATGAGAAGTATACAGAATACGGCAGCTCTGAATCCGAAAGCTTTCAGGTGGGTTCGATGGTTTACTTTATATGCTGGTCAGTTTCCTGACCAGGGTTTTGTAATAGGATTGTGAGGAACGATTATGTATCCAAGCCGTTGACAAAAGGTATATTGGATGGGAATTTAATTGGGCAGTACGAGAGTCTACCGATAAATCGACAGATTGAGGTAACACAACAGATTGGTATGGACCGGGGGAAAGTCTTGCGCGACTGGATAGAGGTTCGAGGATCCTGGTAGTTCTTGGCTGATCAGTAAAGAATATGGAGAGTTACGATATGTTTTCCCAGTTTTAATGACATTATGTATACATACATTCGGGTGTTCCCGTCCTGACCTGGGTCAGCTTCATGCCGAGATCCCGCCTGACACAAGATCTACGGCATATGTTGTTGCTGTCAACTTGTCGAGGATGTACGAAATAGGAATCGCGATGACCAGAAGACACATGAGTGATTGAAGTACTCTAGAACAAATTGATGGGGCTACCAGGGGCCACTTATCAGTGTTTTCCTCAGGGACTTCTCATCAGCAGGTCCTGGACATGCTTGGGAGACAGGTGCCAGACAGCCTGTACAGGTGCCTTCTCCTTTGGACGTTCGCCTGACTAATAAAACTTCTCACAGCTTTCAAAGCTATTCTTGCGCAACTCGGGTCACTCTGTTTTATAGCCCGATCGCGACATTAGCGATCATGATGTCGCTGCACCGTGTCATATGAGCATCTCGGATTCGTAATCACGTCGATATATATATACACTTATATATATATATCCCAAGGCACGCTCTACCGTCTCCATCCCATCGCACACGATGCCTGAACAACTCACACTGTACTCTGCAAGGGTGAGCCAAAAGCATAAAGTCCCCTGTGCAACCACCTACTGACAATTGTCTTAGATCTGCCCATGGGCTCAGAGGGCAAGTAACTGATTGGTTCTGAAGTGCATCGAACACAACTCGAGCGCGCGAGCAGGTTGATATCACTCTTAAAGAATCTGGATTGTCATACGAACGTTTCGAGGTTGACCTCCTGAACAAACCGGAGTGGTACGCTCCGAAAGTTAATCCCGTCAGCAAGGTATGGCCTCAGTCGACCCCCGCGAATGAACAACCTAAACTCTGCACCAGGTCCCGGCTCTCGCCTATGGCGGCCCGAAAGTCTCTCCAGACCAGCCTTCTCCAGAATCCCAGAAACTCGCGGAATCGCTTGTGCTGATCGAATTCATTGCTGACCTTGTGGAATCACTACGCCCTAAGGACCCGGTCATTAAAGCGAAAGCTCGCTTCTTCGTTGAGACTGTTACCGCCAAACTTCCTCCAGCATGGTATGGGGCAGCAACCCGAGGCGAAAGTCTCGATAACGTTTTGGCGGCTATTGATGTCCTCCAGTCGCTCCTCCCTGCTGAGGGTTATGCAGTCGGTGAATGGTCTATTGCTGATGCTGCAGTGACCCCTTTCTTGGCAAGGATTGATCTGGCTCTAAAGAATGACCTGGGGGCGTATGACGAGGGACTGGGGAGGAAGGCGTGGAATACCCTGCACACGGATCCAAAGTTTGAGAGGTTCCGCAAGTACTTCGCGGATGTCAGAGCTAGGAAGAGCTTCCAGGAGACTTTTGACACGGTAAGGCAATGGCTTGTATCGTTCGCGTGTGGCCTCGTGTTCCTGATGTCGCCCTACAGGAGCATATCCTCACCAATTACCAGAAACGTTTCTCGGAGCTTCGGGAAAAACGATTAGGAGCTGGGGTATGAATGGGCGGGTGGCTGAGCCAAGAACGAAGGAGATTTGTGATCCGTATCGTGTATCAGAAGTATCAGACCTGATCTGTATATGTAAATCAGCACGCTAAGCTCGAAATAAAGCCCTGGAACTGGATGGGGTTCGAGAATTCGGTCTTCAATATCTTTATAGATTTATCATGGTATTTCAGATCCGTGAGGCATTTCTGCACAGGGGTCCGGCTAGGTCCGGTCAAATCGTGAGTAGACCAAGTTGATGATGACAGTTAGATAAAATCATCTATATATGAATCCCTGGCTTGAATGAGAACTGGTCAATGATCTAACAGTCCCTAGGTCTCTATAAGACACCCAGACCTTCCGGGCGTGTGATTACATGTTCGATAATTTAATAACCGACCTTAGCTCAGTTGGAAGAGCGCGAGACTGTAATGGATATCATCACTTCCGAGAGATCGGAATCTTGAGGTCGCTTGTTCGAGGCAAGCAGGTCGGATTCTCGTTCAGTTTTTCTGGTTGTTTTTATGATTCACTGGTATTACCAACCGCAAGATCATTTGTGCACGCAATTGCACCAGGTGTCCCGATTGCAACGAGAAAGAACGCAGAGCAAGTGTAAGCCCGCTTACTATAACAGACACAAATACGAACTCAGATACAAACAGATACCAACCTCGTTGTAGATATATGTTATCTTTTCTACTATTTTCTTGTATCTTCCTGTATACGCGTTTTTCTCCTCAATCTACGCCCGAGACCTTTCATCCTCTGTGTGATACTTCGGTGAGTGTTCTTCGGTCGTTATCACTGTTGGTGATCGCCACGGGTATGGTAAACCCGCCGGGTTGGCAGGTACGGGTCTGGCGGGTTTCTTTACCTAAACTAGAAGCCAACTGTCATGGCCGTGTTACAAGAGTCGTACACCTGTCGTTGACTTGTCAGAAAGACAATGTTGTACAACCATAGAATCCTGTCCCCTCGTTGTCTTTTCCACCCTCAACCACTGCCCTTCACCATGGCGCGAGATGGCGTCGATCCCTCCCTTATTACTGACAAGCCTCGTAAACAAAAACTCTCACACCAATACAGATAATG